ATTCAAAATCAACAGATAGAATATTCCAGCTATATGGAGTGCCAGCTTTGCTGGCTCCAGCCAATCTTTTGTACCGTTTTGATTGAAAGAAGTGGCATACAAGCCAGTCAATAAATTATGAGTGAATGAATTTGTTTCCAAACGTGCAAATGATTTTCTGAAAACTCAGACTTGATTCGTTTTTTTCCAAATTTATCATTTATCATAGTTTCTGTATTAATCTATCTTTTGATTGACTTTGGACTATTCTGTCTGTTGGTGTCCACATGGGGTAGACATATTTCCGAACATTATTGTTTGAACCAAGCATGGATAAAACATACATTCACGCCAACCGAAGGAGAAACACATAGTAAGTTTCAGTTGTTTCTGTTCACATCGTGTGTTTCCATAGCACTATATGCATTTGTCAGGGGCAAAGGCTGTGTTTGTGTAGAGCATCGTCCGTCTGTGGGTGTCGATGGGTGTCGAAAGCATTGCAACTGAACATTCGATGCACTACGTCTGATGAGTCAAGGTTAGCAAGGGTTAGGTGTGTGTGTGTGTGCATGTTTGATGTTGGTTTTGCGTTTTGCGAGAGTTTTTCAAATTGTTTGATAAAAGGACGTTAATCAACCACATTTTGCTGTATGTTTTAATATGCAAGATGATTCAAAATCAACAGATAGAATATTCCAGCTATATGGAGTGCCAGCTTTGCTGGCTCCAGCCAATCTTTTGTACCGTTTTGATTGAAAGAAGTGGCATACAAGCCAGCCAATAAATTATGAGTGAATGAATTTGTTTCCAAACGTGCAAATGATTTTCTGAAAACTTAGACTTGATTCGTTTTTTTTTCCAAATTTATCATTTATCATAGTTTCTGTATTAATCTATCTTTTGATTGACTTTGGACTATTCTGTCTGTTGGTGTCCACATGGGGTAGACATATTTCCGAACATTATTGTTTGAACCAAGCATGGATAAAACATACATTCACCCCAACCGAAGGAGAAACACATAGTAAGTTTCAGTTGTTTCTGTTCACATCGTGTGTTTCCATAGCACTATATGCATTTGTCAGGGGCAAAGGCTGTGTTTGTGTAGAGCATCGTCCGTCTGTGGGTGTCGATGGGTGTCGAAAACATTGCAACTGACCATTCGATGCACTATGTCTGATGGTCAGGTGTGTGTGTGTGTGCGTGCGTGCATGTTTCATGTTGATGTTGGTTTGCGGTGGTTTTTCGGATAGAACGTAAATCGACCACATTTTGTTGTATGTTTTAATATGCAAAATGATTCAAAATCAACAGATAGAATATTCCAGCTACATGGGGTGCCAGCTTTGCTGGCTCCAGCCAATCTTTTGTACCGTTTTGATTGCAATGAGTGGCATACAAGCCAGTCAATAAATTATGAGTGAATGAATTTGCTTCCAAACGTGCAAATGAGTTTCTGGAAACTTAGATTTGATTCGTTTTTTCCAAATTTATCATAGTTTCTGTATTAATCTATATATCTTTTGATTGACTTTGGACTATTCTGTCTGTTGGTGTCCACATGGGGTAGACATATTTCCGAACATCATTGTTTGAACCAAGCATGGATAAAACATACATTCACGCCAACCGAAGGAGAAATACATAGTAAGTTGCAGTTGTTTCTGTTCACATCGTCTGTTTCCATAGCACTATATGCATTTGTCAGGGGCAAAGGCAATGTTTGTGTAGAGCATCGTCCGTCTGTGGGTGTCGATGGGTGTCGAAAGCATTGCAACTGAACATTCGATGCACTATGTTTGATGGTCAGGGGTGTGTGTGTGTGTGCGTGCGTGCATGTTTCATGTTGATGTTGGTTTGCGGTGGTTTTTCGGATAGAACGTAAATCGACCACATTTTGTTGTATGTTTTAATATGCAAAATGATTCAAAATCAACAGATAGAATATTCCAGCTACATGGGGTGCCAGCTTTGCTGGCTCCAGCCAATCTTTTGTACTATTTTGATTGCAATAAGTGGTATATTAGCCAGCCAATCAATTATGAGTGAATGTATTATTTGTTTAGTATGTCTGTACATGAGTTCTTTATGGAGTGGATGGAAAAATTCAAAGTTGAGTTGTTGTAGTGTGCCAGCAATGTTGACTGCTGCTTTGGGAATTGAGGAGATGAGGGGTCGACGGGGTCTGGAAAATAGGTTATTATTCTATCTGTTGAAAAAACTGGTAAAACGCAGGAAAAATGATGCTTTTAAAGTTGATTTCCCTAAAAATATATATTTTAGGTCTTGGATAATTCTATGTGTAAAATTTACCTAGCTATAAATTTTGCGTTATTCTATGTGTTATTTTCAAATCAATGAAATTTTGAATATTTTATCTGCCTGTTACTTAATATATGTTTTGGTGAGATAGATGCAAACAAAAACTGTACAATTAGAAACCGCTGAACATGTGAATATGTGAAAAAAAAGGATGAACTGACATGAGGTGGATTTGTTGATCTGGGTCATACGTGAATTCTGTTCAAAATGCAATTAAAAAAGGTCCAAAATCAACAGATAGAATATTCCACTGGATCATCCCACACAAACAAACTAATCTTATGTCACAGTATGAGTGTGTTTGATGGTGTGCCAGCTCTGCTGGCTACCATCACTGATTGGAGTCTGGTTGTTGTGTTTCATGTGATGCTCAACTGAATTTGAATAGTTTCTTAGCTTTATATTAATTTTATATGTATATATAACATATCATATATATTTTTTTTTTCAAAATTGAATAAATTCATTGAGTTTTTCTTCTAAAAACGATATATCTACGTATGATATATTGATACTTTTGATTAGTTTCTTAGAATATCATTTATATATATATGTATATTTCAAGTTTGAAGAGTTTCTGTAATTTTCTTTAAAAAATGTGTATACATATGATATAATGATATGTTTGCTTAGTTTTCTCAAAAAATATATATATATATACATATTTCAAGTTTGAAGAGTTTTCTCGAGTTTTATCCTATAAAAAACAATGTATTTGCATAGGATATGTTCATAATTTTGATGGGTTTTCTTAAATTTCTATATTCCATATTCTATCTCTTGATTCCCCCCCTGCATGCGAAATCCAGATTCTATCTCTTGACCATACCATTTTCAATATTCTATTTGCTGGATCCTTACTATATATATATATATATGTATATATATATGTATATATATATATATAGAAAAGTAACATCCCACTTACTGACTGTAAATAGTGACAACATTCTTTTCTATTTTTTGGGGGGATGACTAGTGTATAATCATGTTCATGTTTTTGCCATGAGTGATAAGAAAAGGGGTTGAATGTCAATGTCAATACTAAGACATATGCTAAGCAACTTGTTTGGTTGTTTTGGGGGCCTGGGGATCCATATCTAGAATTGGCCATGTTCTGAGTAACCTTGGTCATGTTTTTTTTCATGTTGCCTTGGGGATCCCGAAGCAAACGATGATAGCAACTAAGGCTTCAGCAAGCCTGCAGCCTGCATTTAAATGTGGCAATAACATCATGCGAACGCCAACAACATAGTCGACAATGCTCACTTCTTGTGTGATCCCAACATCTCCATAGATGGGAGGTCTTGGAAGGGCCCGCCGTCACATTAGGTAATCCTCCTTTTTCATTCCTTTTCTTATAGGTAGAGCATATATACATGGAATGTATTTCATGGCCAAATTAGATAATTAGTTGATATTATTTGCAATTGAACAGCCGCCACCTTCAATGTATAAGCATAGGGATACAAGACAACGGAGGTATATAATTGCCCTCAATTCCAACTAAAAAAACATTCGATAAAGGCCCGGCTAAATCCGGCCAGGAAGAGATGACAAGTTCACAGTGTCCCAGGATTTTTTTTGTCAACCCTGGTTTATTAATTTATGGCTACGCCAAACAGTGACCATTTGCTTCCAAAATGGCACCCTCCAATTAGCCCTGCTTTCCTAGCGACCCCTTAAGGATGGCCGAAGGGTATGGGAAGCCAGCTGGTCGCTGCCTTCAACGACATTGGGCGCATTGTTTTTCCAAAATGGAGATTTATATCATGATGAGTTTGATGATTCACCGATGGGTTTGGTGTTTACATCAGTCTTGGACGCAACAAAACCACGTTTCCCGTTCTGGCAGCTATGCATGCGGCTTGGTTGTACATAAGTTGTCATGTCCATGCTACTTTGAAGACCACTCCTTTCCAGTCACTGGCAAGATTGCGAGCGGTCAAATCAGGACGAAAACAGTGCGCAAGATCAACACCTTACTGGTGGTAAACGTAGGGAATGGATGGGAATGTGGGGAATGGGATGATTATTACTAGTGATTATGGATCATTCCCTCATTCCCTGCTAAGCACCAGTAAGACCCAAAATTTTCCATGTGACGCTGCGGGGTTGATCGGAATCCCCCTCTCCAGGAAGATGTCCCTTTTGGGTTCGGGCATCTCAGCGAGTTTTCTGTAGAGGAAAGCTTGGGACAAAGGGATATACCTGGAATATGCCTGGGATACAGAAATATTCCACCAATGGCTTGGCTTCTGTGTTGGATAGGAAGTCGGCTGTTGAGGGCATCTGAACTTACTCTATTGCTTCTTAACTGCATTCTTAGCCAGGACTTCGCAACTTTCTACAGCTTCCTCTGGTGTAATTACTCTTGTTTCAGGTCCTTAATGTTTCCAAAAACACATGTAATGGAATGTAGTTGGTTTTTGCCCATTGGTGTCTTTGGCCATGTTGGGGAAAGCCCGGGAAAGCGATGCCATGTTTCTAGAAACCCAATCTGGAATAACGTATAACGACCTCCTGTCGCCACGCCACTGGAGTGATAGTTATAACTTATGACATCTTACTGTATAACTATCCCCCCCCAAAAAATGGCTGAGCATGTCAGGTTGGCGGTTCTTTTGATCCAGCTCCATTGCTGGACCCCGGACCCCTGCCTGAGCAAAATATGTGCATCCATTTGGTTCAACCCGCTAGCTGCTTCAGCCTTACGTAGCTGTGCCTTGCTGCGGTATGGCTTGCAATGGACAGTAACACTGAAGGCCGGGATGTGTCGACACCAGAAAAATGACCAGGTCCAAAACAGACAAGATGAGTGGCTATAGACTTGCATTCACGGGTTGTTGATGGTTGTTGTGGTTTGATGCAACTTTTGGAATCCGGGTTGGGATGATTTTGATTCTTTGACCTCACACCTGAACCATCACCGAGCCTTTTAGATGGGTAATTGAAGCTGTAAGTCACGGAAAGAGTTCATTGATGCGTTTAGCCGGGGGCAAGCGTAGTAAGATTATATATATAATATATATATATATACATACTGTATTGACACACACACACTACATATATATATATATATGTGTATATTGTTTACTGAGGTTAAGCAGGATCGGAAATTTATGCCTATCGACACTCTTGAACATTGACTTTCTTGAGGACGCTACGCTAGTTTTTGCGGTAGTATTTTGCGGCGTGCAACGCTTTGTTGAGAGGAACCCTGGCACCCAGCAGCAAATTTGCTGGTCGGCTGTCCATCCAATCCATCGGACAAATCCAGGCCGGGCCGAGCTCCGCGACGTCTACGACTTCAATTTGCTCATTGCTGCGCTTCGTCGCAAGAAGCGATGGCGCGATGCGTTGCAAGTCACCGTGGACATGTGCACCTTGGATGAGGATATTGGAGGACACATCGTTGGCTGGAATTTTGACATCACACCCCTAGATTTTATTAGGTTTTGATGGTTTGAGATGGGGGGTTGGATGGATTTTCCATGTACTATCATGCTAGAGAATTAGTGGATATTAGTGGGGAGTTATATAACCAACCAACTTCAGAACAGGGGCCACCACCAGGTTCCCGTGCGACCCTTCCCGACGCGGTGTCCCTGAACAGCGCGGCCGTGGCCTGCAACGGCCCTGCGTGGCGGGAGACGTTGGGCCACCTGCGGAGGATCTCCCGGGGAGAAAATGTGTGCAGGGCGTGTAGTATGTCGTAATGTCAACCCTGGATTAATAAAGCCCAAACAGTTGTTTAATTGGGGGATACCATTTAAGTATCAGATGAAATGACTATTTGGGGAGCACCCCCCTAATAAACCATGGTCCATGGTTTAGTAATCCGGGGTTGACATTATCTAAGATTGGGAATGAAACGGTTCAATATCATCAAATATCGGCAGGCATGGCAACATAAAACAACATGTGTTACTCTATTAATTTGATGAATTAGTTTTCAGTAAGGCTATTGCAATACTCATAGCGCTGGAGTATAAGCTCCATATAGAACCCAACCGTAGCAAAAAATCAGGCAGATACCATGCAAGCATGTTCCTGACAGAAACCTGGCAGATCAAAACCATGTATATAGATGATCATCATTTAGGGAAATTGGATTCCCCATTGCCTGATATTGCCAGCTTGAGTTGCCAGAGGGAAACTGCTAACTTCAGGATACTTGAGCAGTGTTCAAACCCCCTGTTGATGATTCTGAATCTAGAGGGTTACACAATCCAATCCATGAGCTGGGAAATCCTATTAACATGGATTAACCTTGGTTTTCCGGCAGGAGTAAGAGCTTTGACAACTTCCCAAACCTCATCACCTACAACACCTGCATCAACGCATGCGAGGGGAGCAGGCCATGGCAAGGGATGTTCACCTCGATGAGCCCATGACTTTCCGTTTGATCGTTAAACACGTTGGTGGTTTCGTGTGGTTTCAAAGTGTTTCAAACGTGTGGCTAGCGGTTTTAAGGGTTGGCTTCCAAACATTCCACTTTGCAATAAATGAACAAAGTGTGATGAAGAACCAAGTGGATTTGTGTGGTTCCCCTAGAATTTCTGATACCCTCTGGTAAACAGCCACATAACTATGGAAAATCACTATTTTCAATGGATGAATCAACTATAAAGGGCAATGTTCAATACCTATGGCTGCCAGGATCATCCCATGTAGCAAATGGGATGATCCCCAAATTAGTTGGAACAAGGTGGTGCCCCAGGCAGTTATAAATAGGTTACAAGCCCATTAAGTATAGATATATCACCTATAAACCATAGTTATTGGAGCTATAAACCAACTTAGCTATCTTGGGGGCACCACCTTGTATATATGATTATATATCCGATATATCCCCATAAAATCACAACATCCCCATTTAAAACCCTATGATTTTCCCTTACTCAAGTGGTGCTAGCATTTGCGTGGCAAGCGTTGGGGAGGCGTTGGCTTTGCGCGCTGCAGATCTTTGGTCATCTCCAGAAGGAAGGCTTTGAGATGGATATCGTCAGCAGCATGGCCAGCATGGCCAGCATGGCCGCGGAAAACTTTCCGCGCCCTTGGAGCTGGGTGTGAATGGCTGGTGTTACAACCTCAAGAATCATGAGGATATGAAATATGAAATTTGATAATATAATATATTACATCTGATTTATATTGATTTATGGGGTATCAAGAAAATGAATGAACATGATGAACCCAGTCCCAAAGGTGACCCCCCCCAAACATGAAATAGAAAGGGCATTTTGTTCCAGGGGTTTATTAACTACCAACAACCGCTATGTATATAAATAAACAGGGCTTCATGGAGCTGCTATGATATACCCTAGTTGGCCACTTGGAGGTTGCCAGAATTTGGGAAGTTAAGTTGTTTGTAAGTGAGGTATAGCCCCTTACAATTGGGATGTATTGGGATATACACCACTTGTCAACCACTCAATATAAACCAACTGGTCCACCAATCAGCAACCGGCGGAGCTTCAAGGTTTTAATCGATAGTGCCTAAATGTGGTGAAATCAATTATTGGAATACACAGCAAATTAAACCACTGCGTTGACTATCGTGATTTGCTTTTGGCACTGTACATTCCAATGATTGATTTGGGGTGGCTGTAGGATCATGATGAAATCCACGAGACATGGAGGGACCTTGGCGGATAGGAAACTTTTGGTGGCAATCCATGATGAACAAGCGGACTTCTTCTCCAAAATTGGCGGTCACATGGTTGAAACTCCAGGAACATATAGTGAACTACCACTTTCGGGCCAGGGAGGGTAAATGTTGCGGAGCCTTTCGGAGCCAGGGGGATGAAGGCGGCTCCCAGAAATCACTGGGCAAGAATACAAGGCTTGAAGGATTCAGTGGGATGGAAAGCCTTATGTGCTACAGGCCTTGTGAGTAAGGCCAAGAATGCCGTGCAAATCTTCACGGGCAACTCTGACATCGGTGCATTTGATTCTCTTTGCAGTGCCATTGAAGGCATGAGGATTGACAAGTTGAAGATGTTGAAGATGACATTAGATGAAACGGACAACATTGTTGGAGGCTCTACGGAGTTGAACTTGAAGAGGTTTAGCCGTCATAGGCATGGGTCCTTCCGATCGTGGTTTGGATCTTGTGGTGCGACTTTTTCTACAAGGCATATCGTCTACATACACCACCCAGATGCACACCCCCGAAAGAATATCTCGGTTCACGCGAGATGAACATTGGTTGCGCTCTCCCTGAGTTCGCTGGGTGGATCACAACGCCAATCTAAGAGTCTAAGAGCAACAAATCCAAGCGCCAATTGGGGATTCGTGATCGGAAATGGCAATTGGTTGGAGCCACAACCTGAAAAGAAGACAAGGTACCGGTTCAGCTCAATGTATCTCCGTGTTTAATACTGTCAAAATCATTGGTAGAATCTTAAGTTTCTGCTTAACAACCACCTTTTTCTATTGTATTAAGTCATTTTTATCACGGTACTTTTTTCCGCGGTTAAAATATTGTTTCTTGGTGAAATCCTCACCAAAAAAAGAACATCAGGTTTCGGCAGCGTTTTGCACGTCCTTCGGGGTCATTGGGAGAGGCCGCTTCGCCCTGGAGTCGCCGCTGAAATAAGGGATATGGGGAATGGGGGTACCCCAGACCGGATGGTTTCATGGAAAATCCTGTGAAAATGGATGATTTGGAGGTACCACCATTTTAGGAAACCTCCATATAGGGAACAAATGGGAGAGTATATTTCGAACATATTGGAAATATTCCGAATGCACCGCACCAGACTATCGGATATTGCATCTGGGTTCTCATTGGAAGTGGTACGGTAGGCATTGGAGACTCAATGAATTTGATATACTGGCCGATACCATAATCCACCAACATTATAGCTTTCTTGAGAATTTGAAGTCTCGGCGTTTGTTTGTTAACCATTGTTTTACAACCTTGGCTGGTATGTTTGAACTGCCTAGTTGGTGCAATGACTCTCCGTTGGTGCTACGGTATTCACCAACAAACAAACCGATATATCTATATAATATACAGATACCATGTACTACCATAAAATGCTGAAGCATGGGTTTGTTGGCAAGTATTATGGTCCCATTTGCCGACATATTCAAGTTTTCTAGTGAACCGTATTTCTTCAGCATTCCTCAGCCAAATGCACATCCGGGGGTCAAAACCAAGACACCTCAAAGTCAATGAATCATAAGAGTTCTGGCATGATCAGAATGCTCCATTTTGATATGAGAGGACTGCAGAAGGAAAGCATTCAGAGTCAGGGTTGAGGTTTTGCGTCGCCAGGACCTCGCTTTTATTGCAGTGCCTTGTCCGAATATCCTTGGGGATGATCCTCTCCTCTTGTAGGTTTGCAGTGCTGATCAATTGACTGATGGGCACATTAATCTCATTAATGGCGCAGAATCAGCCACCCCACAGGCCCCACAGTTCATTACTGCGATCGTTCGCAGGGGGATACCAATTCTTGTGACTTTGGTAGCACTGGCTCCGAGTCTCCACAAGCTGTCCCACTTTGGTATGCTGGGTCTTAGGCTGGCTGCATCATTTCACACAGTGTTCCATCATTTTGCATCATGTTACATCTACATATTGGAAATCAAGCTCGAGCGGCTGATTACTTCCAACTGCCACTTTGGCTTATGCTTCTTTGTTTCTTAGATGTGTTGTTACCCTCTTAAGAGGCCACCTCCTCGAAAGCCCTGACCACTTCCATGCAATTATGGCCCCTTAACAGTTGCAGTTACAGTATAAATGTTTAAATGGCATGAAACAACTCCCATAACTGAGGTTGTACATCATGTTTATATCCAATGATATCTCATTTATATCATGTTATACCCATATATAATATATCCATTTGTACCTGTTAGTTGGGCCATTTGCCTGTAACCACGTCCGCAAGGTCGATGCCAGTTTGTGGACTTCGTCCCAATCTCTATGCCTTGAACAGCGTCTTGAGCCTCTCAGCTCGGTGACCCCGGTGCTGCGCGGATAGCGGAAGGATATACCCAGTGGCCATGGTTCAATGGGAAAATCATCTATATATATATACAGAGATGAATAGGTAGTTTCATGCAAACACATAATAATTTTCAAAATATGATGTTTATCATTAGTTGAAACTATAAACAAATACATTATAGATATCATCTATAGTCATAGTCTAAAACTATCAACGAACTCTGCTTTAATATGTTATATTATGTCCACTAATCATATTTGTTTATCATTACCGTGTAGTAATTGGGATTTTCCAGCCAGCCATTGTAGTAGTCACGGCTTCTTTAAGATGTCCCAGCTCCACCAATTGTAGTTGAACTGAATACTGGACCTCCATATTCCTGGGTGTGTTTAGTCGGTATTTTTCCCATTGGGAAATCCACTCGAAATGGGGAATCAATTGTGTGAAGTACTGTTCTATTTATTTGAAGGTTCCTTAAGCAAATCCAAGTAGATTGGGGATAAGTTCATCAATAAAACTTTGCCTGAAAAAAGCAAAGTCTTCGAGATTTTTCGCCCAGTGGGGCTCAGATGCGACCCCAAAATTGGAGGTGAAAACCTGTGAAACTCGATGATGTTGATCAGCAAAAACATGTGATTGGATGTGACACTTCGAAGGCGCAGTCCATAGAGATTCCATCATTTGTACGGAGCATGTACCAACATTTGCTTCTATGTTTTGAGGATGTAGGTACATTATTGTAAGAGTAAATGCTACTGGGATAGTATATCAATGTTTATCATGCCAATCAATCTTCTGAAGGGTTCCAACTTACTGTTCACGAAGCTAAGTTAGCTAAGTTAGCTAAGCCAACTTGGCTAAGTAGCTGGGATCGCCCAGCTCGGGCTGCGTTCCCAGGTAGCCTCGAAGTGACACCGCACTGGTTCCAAGCGCTACAGTTGCGTTTGACTTGGCAGAGGGAAGCTATGTCGCCAGAGCCTTGGGGCGAGCCGGTACCCTCCGGTGTCAACGTGGCTGGAAGAGTCCCTTTAAACAATGGGTTTAATGGGAAACTCATCTTTTAATATATAAAGGATTTCAAATTACCATGTTTGATTACCGGAGGATAAGAATCGTTAAATCTTGTTTGCTATAGATGGGGGCAGAAAATACGCATATGATGAGCACGTATGTGTTGGTTTGCATGATCTTGAGGTGGGGTTAGAACTATCAAAAACTATCCAGACAGAGTTTGAGCCAACAATAAGCTCCCAACCTGTAATTAGTCAGGTAAACCTTTCTTTGCATTTGAGAAATGCATTCATGGACAGATTTCTGGGAATAGAGATGATACTGTATCACTATTATGCAATGTTTGACTTTGGGATCGATTCTGAGTTAAGTTTGACTTGGGTTGTTTTTATTTATCTGAATTTGAACTGGTTCACTTGAAATTGGATTCAGTTTACTTCACAATGATGTTGAATTAAATTGACCTAAAGTCATTGACATTGAGTTCAGGTTGGAAATGAGAAATCCTAGCAGATTGAGCAAAGGCTCTGGGAAAGCGACAACGTTGGTTTTGCCTTTTAGTCACTATTTGGGATGATGAATTATATTGTGTAATATTCCTATCATGTATCATTATAGTGTATTGTATATTACTATCATATACGTATATGTACATATATGTGTCACTATTTGTAACTACAAGAATAACACAATATATACCGTTAAAATGAAAGTTAGAATGCCTCCGCGAATTCCAAATATTCCTCCCCCTCAGTTAGAATGCGGCCCGCGCACGGCAAAAAATCCTTCAGTTAGAATGCCTCCCCACCCGGGTTTTAAGTTTTTTTGTTTTTGGAGAACCCTTTGCACAAATCCCTCACTTAGAATGCCTTCGCACTATGAATATCATCAGATGTTAGAATGCAGTTAGAACGCTTCCCCCTTGAAATTGCTTTCTACCAGCATTTCAGCAATTAGAACGCTTCCCCCTTGAAATTGCTTTGCCAGCATTTCAGCAGTTAGAATGTTTCCCCCTTGAAATGGCTTTTTACCAGCATTTCATCGGTTAGAATGCTTCCCCCTTGAAGTTGCTTTTACACAAGCATTTCAGCAGTTAGAATAGGTTTTTTACCAGCATTTCATACGTTAGAATGCTTCCCCCTTGAAACGGCTTTTTACCAGCTTTTCAGCGGTTAGAATGCTTTCCCCTTGAAATTGTTTTTTACAAGCATTTCAGCAGTTGGAATGCTTTCCCCTTGAAATTGCTTTTTACCAGCCTTTCAGCAGTGAGAATGTTTCCCCTTCATATTGTTTTTTACACAAGCATTTCAGCAGTTAGAATGCTTCCCCCTTGAAATTGCTTTCTACCAGCATTCCTGCAATTAGAACGCTTCCCCCTTGAAGTTGCTTTTGCCAGCATTTCAGCAGTTAGAATGCTTCCCAGCATTTCAGCAATTAGAATGCTTCCCCCTTGAAATTGTTTTTTTAACCAGAATTTCAGCAATTAGAATGCTTTTCTTGAAATTGTTTTTTTACCATTATTTCATCAGTTAGAATGCTTCCCCCTTGAAGTTGCTTTTTACCAGCCTTTCATCAGTTAGAATGCTTCCCCCCTTGAAATGTTTTTTTACCAGCATTTCATCAGTTAGAATGCTTCCCCCTTGATTTTTTTTCAACCAGCTTTTCAGCAGCTAGAATGCTTCCCCGTTGAAATTGCTTTTACACAAGCATTTCAGCAGTTAGAATGTTTCCCATTTGAAATTGCTTTCTACCAGCATTTCAGCAATTAGAACGCTTCCCCCTTGAAATTGCTTTCTATACCAGCATTTCAGCAATTAGAACGCTTCCCCCTTGAAATTGCTTTTGCCAGCATTTCAGCAGGTAGAATGCTTCCCAGCATTTCAGCAGTTAGAATGCTTCCCCCTTGAAGTTGCTTTTTACACAAGCATTTCATCAGTTAGAATGTTTCCCCCTTGAAATGGCTTTTTACCAGCATTCCATCAGTTAGAATGCTTCCTCCTTGAAGTTGCTTTTACACAAGCATTTCAGCAGTTAGAATCCCGTTGAAATTACTTTTTACCAGCATTTCAGCAGTTAGAATGCTTACCCCCTTGAAATGTTTTTTTTACCAGCATTTCATCAGTTAGAATGCTTCCCCCTTGAAATTGCCCTTTACCAGCTTTTCAGCAGTTAGAATGTTTCTACCTTGAAATTGTTTTTCTACCAGCATTTCAGCAGTTAGAATGCTTCCCCCTTGAACTTGTTTTTTACCGGCCTTTCAGCAGTTTGAATGCTTCCCCGTTGAATTTGCTTTCACACAAGCATTTCAGCAGTTAGAATGTTTCTCCCTTGAAATGGCTTTTCTACCAGCATTTCAGCAATTAGAATGCTTTTCTTGAAATTCTTTTTTACCAGTATTTCAGCAGTTAGCATGCTTCCCCCCTTGAAAAGGTTTTTTTTACCAGCATTTCAGAAGTTAGAATGCTTCCCCCTTGAAACGGCTTTTTACCAGCTTTTCAGCGGTTAGAATGCTTTCCCCTTGAAATTGTTTTTTACAAGCATTTCAGCAGTTAGAATGCTTTCCCCTTGAAATTGCTTTCCACCAACATTTCAGCAATTAGAACGCTTCCCCCTTGAAATTGCTTTTGCCAGCATTTCAGCAGGTAGAATGCTTCCCAGCATTTCAGCAGTTTGAATGCTTCCCCCTTGAAGTTGCTTTTTACACAAGCATTTCATCAGTTAGAATGTTTCCCCCTTGAAATGGCTTTTTACCAGCATTTCATCAGTTAGAATGCTTCCCCCTTGAAGTTGCTTTTACACAAGCATTTCAGCAGTTAGAATCCCGTTGAAATTACTTTTTACCAGCATTTCAGCAGTTAGAATGCTTACCCCCTTGAAATGTTTTTTTTACCAGCATTTCATCAGTTAGAATGCTTCCCCCTTGAAATTGCCCTTTACCAGCTTTTCAGCAGTTAGATTGTTTCTCCCTTGAAATTGTTGCTTTTGCCAGCATTTCAGCAATTAGAATGCTTCCCCCTTGAACTTGTTTTTTACCGGCCTTGCAGCAGTTTGAATGCTTCCCCCTTCAAGTTGTTTTTTACACAAGCATTTCAGCAGTTGGAATGCTTCCCCCTTGAAATTGTTTTCTACCAGCATTTCCGCAAATAGAACGGTTCCCTTTGACATTGTTTTAACCAGCATTTTAGCAGTTAGAACGCTTTCCCCTTCAAGTTGTACAGATATGTGCAAAAACTTGTGAGTACATATAATATATTATATAATCCCGATGGGATACATAGAATACAAAATCGATAATTTCGGCCTCAACAACATCTCCCGGAATCGGTAAAAACACCTATACATAGAATAAAAACATCTTCCGGAATCGGAAAAAAACAACATATACATAGAATATTTCCGGCTATCCATTTTGATCCAGGAAAATAAATCTTTTCAGGTTTTTGACAGAAACATGGATTGCTGCAGCCGCCTGTGATTCAAACCAGTTCCGCAAAGGGACAACTGCGATTTCAGCATGGAAAGTGTGTTGCAACGCGTTTTGCTGGGGCAATCGCGGGGTGAACTATGAAAAAAAAACATATTTTGCAATGAAAACAAATGGAATTGGGTGGTGTTCCTCTAAAAATTGATGAATATTTTCACTGCGGACCTAAATTCTATGTAAGTAATTCTTCAAGGAATTGGGTCTCTTCCATGTAAAAGGGTATATATCATATACGTAATTCCCTTTGGGGTGTAGCAACCCTGGATGTCTGAAGTTCCTAAACTAGAACGTTTCAAAAAAAAAACAGGTCCCCCGAAAGGATCAATTTCTTTTTATATTGCATTAAAAAAATGAGTTTTTCAGGCTCACCGAAGGGTACCCCCCACGACCGGTGTCGTAGAACTATGAAAAAAACTATTTTGCAATGAAAACCAATGGAATTGGGTGGTGTTCCTCAAAAGCTGATGAGTATTTTCACTGGGGACCTATATTCTATGTATGTAGTTCTGCAAGAAATTGGGTCTCTTCCATTTCAGGGTATATATCATATACGTAATTCCATGTAATTCCCTTTGGGGAGTAGCAACCCTGGATGTTTGAAGTTCCTAAACTACACTGACCTAAAAGTAAATGGCTCAACTCAAAAACCAAAATGCCCACAAGATGGCACCGCGCGGTGAGAAAGAAAACAGAGCTATTTTAGCTGGAACATAAAACGAGTTCCGCCAATTCCCAAGACAGGAGGCAAAACCACCAGGAAAGACATCAGAGTTATCCCAAGACAGGAGGCAAAACCACCAGGAAAGACAGCAGAGTTATCCTAAGACAGGAGGCAAAACCACCAAGAAAGACATCAGAGTTATCCCAAGACAGGAGGCAAAACCACCAAAAAAGACATCAGAGTTATCCCAAGACAGGAGGCAAAACCACCAGGAAAGACATCAGAGTTATCCCAAGATAGGAGGCAAAACCACCAGGAAAGACATCAGAGTTATCCCAAGACAGGAGGCAAAACCACCAGGAAAGACATCAGAGTTATCCCAAGACAGGAGGCAAAACCGCCAGGAAAGACATCAGAGTTATCCCAAGACAGGAGGCAAAACCACCAGGACTCAGGCGATAGGTCCCCAGAAAGAGTGTTTGAGGACCTATCGTTGTAGTATCCCGGATTTTTTTCGTTTTTTTTGCCAACATATGTTGAAAAATAACATTTCTATCAAAATATATCGTGTCTAACCCTAAACCCTACATCCGTTAGAAAAAAGATGAAAAAATAAGAAACATATCTGCCAACAACGGGGGGTTCACGGTATGTAAATATTATACATCTAAAAATAATCAGAATGCATATATTGAAATTGTAAAATTGCGCCATCTATGTGGAGATGCGCCATCTATGTGGCATATTTTGGTTAGGTTGGTTTATGGATGTCAGGATGTGAGGGAGTTGCGCCATCTATGTGGCATATTTTGGTTAGG